TGACTCTCATTTTGTCTTCTCATTTTGAGAAGCTGGGAGCAGTGGAACAGCAGCCTGGAAGCCCCTTCCTCTGGTCTGGGAATGGTGGAATGGTGGCTGGGAGGCCTCTTCCTCTGAGTGGTGGAACCTACAAACAATTATTCTTTAAAATATTTTCAATGTGCATTTGGTTGAATCTATAGATGTGAACCCCATAGATATGGAGGGCTGTGTGTGTGTGTGTGTGTGTGTGTGTGTGTGTGTGTGTATTTTAACCCAGTATTAGCCAACCTAACTCGGAATGGAACACAGAGTTGATATTGTGTGAGGAAAGGGAGTCATGCTTTATAAACCTTCCTATCTATACCTGATACTCTGCTCAGCCATCTAGGTACTTACAATGTATTTCCCTAGATGGATGGATGTGATTTGAAAAAAAAGACCAGAATGGAGGGATAAAGGCATACAGGTCCAGTGTATCAGGGTTGCTAGTTGGCTGATTTCGATCTCCTAATAAGTTTTATTGTCTTATCTTAGAGATAGCCAAGCCAGTCACCACTCGTTAATTCCCTTCTTTTTGCTGTGCCCTGACCATCTCCATAATCTTCCAGGATTCCCAGTGTTAGAAAAGCATATCCCAAAAAGTGAGCCATTATTCAATCTATTCTAGCAATTCACTGTCAGTATCTATGCTTCCTTCAAATGTTTTCTCCAACTATCTATGCTCCATCACTCCATTTCCTTGATGCTAAGATACACAGTGTTTCTTCTTTTTACATTTCTGAACTTGGAATCCATGTGAAATCAGGGGGTGGATCACAATGTGATAGCCTGGTTTCTTCTAGTGGCCCACCAAACATGAGCTATCAGTAGTGTTTTATGTTTGTTCCACCACTGATTGTGGGAGCCCCGAGAACCCTAAAGCAGGAATAGCAGCTATAATCACTCCCTTGGTAACCAGGGTGGGGCAGAGGCTCCTTTTCTATCACTTGACAGATCTTCCAGGCGCTGAATTCTCTCTAACTACCCTCGGCTCTGTCTCGGTGGCTGTGGCACAGTCCTTTTGTTTCCTTCCTGTGTTGTTTTCCTTATCTGGGCTTTTGTTGGACTCCAACAAGGCTGCCTGTTCCTGAGTCCTGGCTTTGCCTCCATCCTGTGCTACCTCTTGGCTTGGTGCTATGTAAACTCTGCCATGCATGTGCGCACAGATACCAGTGAGTCTCCTGGACTGTGTAACCCAGGGACTCAGCGGCCATGTGCCACAGAGAGGCTTTCTGAGCGGGGACACGAACTCCCCTTTTGATTTTTGTAACATCATCACTTTGCCCAGTCACTATGATGTAGTATGGGCTCTATAACTGTTTAGACAGTCAAGTAATTCAATTTTTTAATTCACATGCAACATATAGGTGCAGAACATTAAGTCTTGCTTACTTTTTCTTTTCTTCATGACAAGGAGGAGTTATAAGACACCGCTATTATTTGCAGGGCTGAGTATCCAGGCTGCAGGGCTCTCTGAGGCATTCATTTTTCCCCCAGAAGTTTCTGTCTTGTTTTCTGCCCCTCTGCCTGGGAGGGGAAGTGTTGGCATTGTCGGGTATGTGTGGGGTGGGCTGCACCATACATGACTTATCTCTCTTTCTGCATAGCTTTGTACCTGGCCATGTACCTGGGACAGGGCCGGGTTTATGGCTGAGCTTTGAGTCGGAGCCAGGTTGGGCTCCACAAGCTTTGGCCTTGCAGCCCAATCTATACCCTTGGGTTCTGCTACCTTATCTGGGTTAAGTTCACTCCTGGCTTTGCTCCAACACTTTTGTATAGGTTGTGGCTCTTAATGTGCTTAACTTCCTGGGTGAGGGCAGCTCTCCACCCATTAGGATAATTGCACTCTCCTGTGAATGGAACACTTTCTTACTCCACTTTCTTACTCGCTGGAGGCAAAGGAGCCTAAGGGAGCAGAGTCCTGTTCCCCCACTTCCCATAGCAGGCAGGACAGGCGGTGGAGTTAATACCCTTCTCACATAATGACCTAATTTGTTCACAATGACTATGGATTATTTTTCATGAATGTTCACTCTTACCCAGATTTTGGTGTACTAGTTCAGATCTCTCCTAGAAAAAAAAAAGAAAAAGAAAAAGCCAGCCATTATTTATAGAGGGGGTGCTAGTCTTCATTTGCTATAGTTAGGGGCTGTGCTGGGAGCCAGATTATAACATCCTAAAATGGGGACAGTAAGGAAGTGCTTTTCAGTAGTGAGTTTAGCTGGCTTGTGGGGGTTTTTGTTTGTATTTTGCAGTGCTAGGGATTGAACCCAGGGCCTGGCACATGCTAGGCGAATGCTGAACCACTGAGCTATAGTCCAGTCCCTATGAATTGATTCTGAAATGTTTAGAAATTTTGCTAGCCACCTGGCCATGGTATTTACATAGGGAAACTGTTGAATACTATATCTGGGTCTCTCTTTCTCTGTCTCTGAGTCTCTGTCTCTGTCTCTGTCTCTCTCTCTGTCTCTGTCTCTCTTTCCCCCTACCTTCCTCTCTATCTCCAAGAGAAGCCTAGAATTAGATGCTGTTTGTGCGTGCGTCACCAGAATCAAGAACGAACATCACGTTCAGGTGTGAAGATTCCGGCCTGCTGCCAGGAATGATCGGCTAACACAGACTTACTTGTCCCTGGTGGAAGGAGGCCGCCTGGCCTAAAGAGGGGACTCCACCCTCTTCCCCTTCCTACCCCAGGGCACCGAAGCCACCCTCTGGGGTCAAAGTAAAATTTCTGTGTTTCAGTCCTCAGCTGTTGGTGTTTGCACCCTCAGCATTTTTCACATTGCACTAATTTAAGCCAAGCAGGCAAATACTTGAGAATAAAATAAGCCATCATAGTGAAACCAGGGCATTTTAGATTTTTTTCCCGTGTGATACAAGCCCTGTAAGTATGCATGGCAGATAAAGAGTGGAAGGAAAAAGGGGTCTTTACTACCTCGCGCCCATCACCCATGCCCCGTGGACAATGTCGCCACGGGAAGAAAGGGTGGTTCCTACTTTCTAGGTGGCCACCATCAGGGATTCTGTGCCCAGCTCAAATTCCCCGGGCAGCCTGTCTTGCACAGGAGTGAGGGGGTTGGGAATAAGGCTAAGGAGGGAACACCTAAGCAAAGACTGCATGGCTGGGGTCCTGCAAAAACTGGAAGGCAGAGAGGACAGGAGGTTCCGCAGGAGTAAAAGGAAATGGGGTGAGGAGCCAGGGCAGGGGAGGGGGCCTTGCCCCACCTGGGCAGCAGCAGCTCCACGGCCCTGGGATTTTCTTTAAGACTCTCACCTCAGCAAGACAATCGCCAATCTGTGACCTTCCTGGGGACCCTCCAGGCACCCCCACTCACAGATGCTTTTATTTTATAAGAGGTCTCATCCACAAATGAATGGATAAAGATGTGGTGGATATGCACAGTGGATATCGCTCAGCCCTAGCAAGGATGAAATCCTATCACCTGTGGCAGTGTGACTGGAACCAGAGGGCACCATACCAAGGGACACGAGCCAGGCATAGAAAGACACACACACTGCACGGCATGACTCGCAGATGTGACCTAACAAAGTTGACTTCAAAGAAGTAGAGAGTAGAGTGGTGTTAGCAGAGGTCAGGAAGGGAGGATAAAAAGTATAACAGGTACTGAAGCAGTGGATGAAGGAGTAAGTCCTAACGTCCTACAGCACAGCAGACTGGCTGTAGTTCACAACTTATGTGGTCTCCAAAGAACTAGAAGAAATGAATTCAAAGAATAAATGTTTAATGCAAGAGAAGTGCTAATTACCTGCTTTGATCAATATACATTGTATACGGTCTCGAATCATTACACTGAATCCCATCAATATGGATAATTATCACACGTCAATTTAAGAAGAATAAATGCATAAATACACAGCCATTGCAAAGTGTTTTTAAAAAGTGATCTCCAGGTCATGGGCTTAGTAATGTCCCAGCTACATCCTTGTGGTTAAAGTCACCATGCGAAGTGTCTCTCAGAGCCACACCTCTCACACTGACTCTGAACCTGAATTCTCAGTGTCCCAAGTTCCCATCAGTTTCAGATGGCACCCGGGTGTCGGGTCCAGAGTTGCTCTTTGGTTCAGTCTGTGATTGCTATTGAAGTCAGCCTTTGACAGTTTTTTTGGTTTATTTTATCCCCTTGCAACCAAATTGTTTCTGGGATGCCTCCCATGAGCTCGGGACTGTTCTCAAGCTGGGGAGACATACACTGAGGACAGTCTTTCTAGGTCTGGAGTTGTGGATGGATGGTCCACATCAGTGAGCATGTTAATAAAGTCATGAAGGACTTGCAGGTGTGTGATCCAGTGGTCAAGACGGACCTCAGAGAGAGGCTGTCAGATAGAAAGGGGATCCTGGCGGCTGGAGGGAAGAGATCGCAGGTGAGCTCTTGAGAGGGGAGGCCAGAGGCCATTGGCTGAAGGGCCTTAGAGGAGGATTTAGTGGGTTTCGCTGCTGGTCTGGAGGTGACGGAGCCCTAAGAGGATTTCGAGTAGGGAATGACACAGTCACATCACACATTTAAGAAACATCCCAGCTGTGATAAGTGCAGAAGGGATAAGGGTTTGGTCATTGTCCATGCACAATGAATGACTTCAAAGCACAGTGGTTTAAATAACAGCATGTCTTTTGGGCAGGAGGAGTCTGGATTTCTAGAGCCACAGAGCTGGGAGGCTTCTGCTGAGGGTCTCTCGGGGCTCCTGGGAGGACGCTAGCTCACTCTTTCATGTCTGGGTGGGTCACTGTCTTAGCTGCCAAGTGGTGCTAAGTTGATGGATCACTAGTTCTCTACAGGAACCTTGCCATTGGCTGTGTTAGCCATGTGGTACGTAATTTTTGGGGCAGCTGCCTCTGCTTGTGGGGGAGAGGAGAAGCAGCTTCCAATGGATTGATTCATTGATTCATATCAGGATTTGAAGCCAGGGCCTTCACACTGAGCTACATTCACAGTTCTTTCTTATTTTTTATTTTGAGACAGGTCTTGCTAAATTGCCCAAGTGGGACTTGAACGTGTGTTTCTCCTGTCTTGGCCACCCAAAGTGCTGCATCTTTAAATGACCTTCAAAGTGTTTGTTTGCTTGAGAAGGCCCTCCAGAGAAATATGCAAGGAACCTGCTAAAACTCAGCCAGTCACTCTGGCACACTCTTTTATGTGAACTAAAGTCAACTTCACTCATTATCAAACCAAATTCTCCACCCAGAAGGATTCCTGCCCTGCACGTTTTTCAATGTTTTGAACCATTTTTCTCCATCAGTTTTTGGAGCACATGATGTAGGACCTTGAACTGAGCCTGCTTAGGCATGTGAATGTGCCCGCTCTGCATGTGACGACAGTCTTTCCTGGACGAGTCTGTGGGGATCCCCCATGGAAGCCCTGCTCTTCTCTGTCCAGGGAGACACTTCAGTGACAGTCACCCCCATGCTGCAAGTGAGACTCCTTTCTTCACTCCTATATCTTGGTTCTGTTGCTTGGCTTTGCCCTCATCTGTGGGGAAACTCACTGCGTTTGGTTACAGCTGCTCGAATGTCCTCACATATGGCAACTGGCTATCCCCAGGATGAACCATCCCTGAGAGAGGTGGCAATGTATTTCGTGACCTGACCTCAGAAATCCTGTACAGTCACCTCAGCCATGTTGTCTCGCTGCAGAAGAGCCCTTAAGTCTGGCTCCCATTCAAGGTAAAGGACTTAGACTTCATGTTTTGAAGGCAGGCAGGTCAAAGCATTAGTGGATGTCGTTTAGAGATCTCTTTGTATAAGTTTGAAAAGCAGAGGTCATCTTGTGATTTAGGTGAGGAAGAAAAGGGCCTGCAACCTAACTCAAAAACAGTGGGAACAGGCACAGAATTGGGAGCCATTAAAGTGCTGGAATCCATGGGGTTTGCAAACCATTTGCAATCAGTCTGAACTGAGGGAAACCTGGAGAGGTGGAGGGAGAGTACAGTCAGGACTCACTAAAGGCAAGACGTTTCCGGGCAGCGAAATGGGCATTTCACAGAGGCAGGTGTAGATGCGGTGTGTGTGTGGGTGGATGGGTGGGGTTGTAAGCAGGAAATCTATGAGTGCAAATGAGATGACCTTTCTAAAGGGAGTGGCGGAGAGTGGCCCCCAGATTCCACTTGCTAACGCTGCCGGGCAATGTGGAGGGTCTTTAGGGGTAGGTGGTCGTGCATTTGACTGTCTGCCTGGCTACATGGCTATGTGGCTACCTCCAACAGAGCTACCTACCTAGTTACAGGTTTGATGACAGGAGGCAGTGTGAAGACCTTCACTTCTATGCCTCAGTTTCGCTATCCAGACATGGGGCATATTAGGACCTACCACATGGATCGATGTAGGATTAAACGAGAGAGTGGGTACACATGCTTTATACAGCTCATGGGATTCAGTAAATGCTCAGTAAAAGGTCATTATCAGCAAATAACACTCTAGTGGGTGGGGCAGTGGTGAGAGAGGGTCATAAATACAAACTTGTAGAGAAGAGCTTATTTTAACAATTAATTAATTAATTAATTAATTAAAGGTGAAGCCTAGGGACGCTCCCTCACTGAGCTATGCCTCAGTTTATTTAATTTGTTTTATTTTTTGTTTTGAGATAGAGTCTCACTAAATTGCCCGGATAGGACTTCCACTGTCTTATCCTCCTGCCTCAGCCTCCTGGGTGCTGGGATTACAGGCATGCACCACTATACCCGGCTGGTAGAGCTTATTGAATTGGCTGTGAGGCCTTCTGAGGTGTTTTGAGATGGAAAGGCTTAGAGTCTGGGTCTTAGGTCCCTGCGGGAAGGCTGCTTGGAGGCCTGAGTGTGAGCAGATCTGACTGCCCGGCTGTCCCCATGACTACCGTGCAATGCTGCGTGAACTTTGTTTTGCCCCCTTTCTTTCTGGGCACTTCGAAGCCACTGCACAGTCTGGGGAGCAGATGGTGAAGGGTTACTGTCCCCTCCTGGGTCTGAGCAGAGCTTGGGGAGGCAGGGATGAGGGACAGCGAGAGCAAGGCTCTGGCCACTGCAGGGGCCACTGTGCCGAGCACCCTGTCTCTTACTGTCCCGTCGTCCCTGCCGGGTACTGGGGGGACAGCCGAGGAGGGACTCGGTTTTCTGAACTGGCTCCAGTGTGGCGTTCTTGCTCAGATGAAAAGAAAACCCCTCGTTGTGAAGCACGCCAGACTGGGACAGACACGCGATGGGCCCTTTTTGTCCTTGGCTGGAGTCAAGCAGGGACGGAAGTGTTCACACGCACTTTCCTTATGGGACCCAGAGCCGCCATGATGCTCCTGACTGTCGTGAGTGCTGTGCAGACTACTGGGATGTGTGGTGAGAAGTCCAGGGGTCCTGTCCTCGGCTCTAGTCGACCATCTTGCTCAGAGACTACAAGTCCCAGCATCCTTTGCAGACGAGCCCGGCAGCCTCAGCCTGCCTTGAAGGAGAGACCCTGAGGTGACCCCCCAGTCCTGGCCACAAGAAAATGCTCTCTATCAAAAGACAGTAGAGACCTTTTCACTCCCAGTGGCTTCCTCACACCGCAAGGAGACAGAAACTCAAGACCTCCTCCCTGCTCATTCATTGAGCCAAGGACCAGAACTTTGGCAAGCTCGCAGGCTTTGTCAGATGGGAGCCATGGCAGTGAATAAAAAAAGTGAAACCAGATGTGCTTCCCTCCACTCGCTCCATATCCAAGCAGGGACGGAGGGAGGAGGCCGTAAAAATGTCACAGCCCTTGATTTCCGAGGCCCAGATTACGCGCCGGGTAACCTCGCACCGTAAATCCACGCTTCCGAAGGGGCAGGCCCAGCTGCGTGTGGACGCGAGGAGGCGGCCCTGCCGAGCCAGTGAGCCTGAGCCGGAGGGGCCGGGCGGGAACGTGTGGGCAGGGAGTCTGGCGGGAGTGAAGATTGCTTTTCAAGAACTTTAAAGTGGGCAAGTGATTTTACAAGTTTGGCTCTGACATTGGGCTTCGTAGGAGATAAGCCAAACTCTTACATTTTAGCTGGAAAGAACTTGATTTCTGTTTGCAAAGCATTGTCAGATGCAAGAGCGCTCCTTGGGAATGGACCTACATATGCTGTTTTCTCTGCAGGCTCAAGCCGGAAGGAGGATGAGAAGACAGCTAGGACCAGACAGACTTCAGGAGCCCACAGAGGCCGGAACTTATCCTGGTGCCGCTGGGAGCCATCAGACTGCCGATTTCCAAAGCTTATTTTGAGTTGGGCATGTTGAGGCATTCATCTACAAGCCCAGCACTCTGGGAAGCGGAGGCAGGGGGATCAAAAGTTCAAGCCCAGCCTGTTTCAAAATAAAAAATAGCAAAGGGGTGGTACTTAATGAGACCCTGTTTCAAAGTAAAAAATACAAAGAGCCGGAATGAGGCTCAGTGAGAAGGCCCTGCGTTCAGTCCCCAGTACCACAGGCATACACACGCACACACACACACACACACACACACACACCCCGAGTTATTTTGCTGGCCATGGAAAGAACAGATTATGCAGCTATGGGTGAGAATGTTAGAGAGGAGACAACTTCAGAGGCCATGACAGACTTCCAAGCTCAAGATGGTGGCTTAGACGAGATGGATGCCAGGAAGCAGAGAAGGGTGCACAAGCTCAGAGGTCGGGGCCAAAGGCAGTGGAAGAACACTGGGACTCCCGTGTGAGCAGCGAGGGCAGCTGAGACAAGGATCCAGTTTCCTGAAAAGAGAAAGAGTTTGTTTTGGACGATTTAAGTTAGAAACCCTATTGACATCCCGGTGGATGTTTCAGATAATTGGATATATGGGTTTAGAGATAGGTCAGGACTGGGGTCAGGGCTGGGGTGTACATTTGTGAATCAAGTCACAGAAGATGTTTAACAAGGAATTATGGCATGGATAAATCAATAGGAACAGAGTTGCTTGCCCTGGCTGCTCCTGCTGTTGACATTGCTGCTACAGCCACCTTCTGCCTCTGTGTGGCCACCCGACTAGAGCCAGAGGATCTGAGGTTGTGGCTGCATGTGCTCACGTGGCTGTTGCTTCTTGCTTTGCCAAGGATGCCAGCTGTCATTGGTGGGTCTGCGTAGCTGAGCCCAGAGGTGCCACTTCTGCTGTTAAACATGGCACCATGGCAACAGAGCTCCTCACCATCTTGACCCAGCCCAGCAGGACTCCTCTCCAGTTCTCCATTTCTTTCTTCATGCATCATCTGGCTCAGATTTTCCACTCTCCTAACATTCTCTCAGCTTGTTGACATTTTTACAGTGGGTATAACCTTATTATTTGGTTTTTAGTCACTTAATATCAGCAATTGGCTTTTTGTTTCATCCATGTTGCATGAAGTGTGGCACTGGTTTCTAGTCTGTCCTAATGGCTAAGTCCTGACAGCTGACTTTGCCCTGGGCTCCTAGGTGTCTGACCAGCTGATGGCCGGAGCATCACTGATCACTGTGGGATTGGTCAGGATCATACTCGTCTGCGATGCCTGTTGACAAGAACACAGGTCCTGGTCTCCCATTCTGTCCATGATTATTGTATTTCATGCAATTTCCATTTTACACAGCAACCATGTTTTGTATTTGTTCCAATTTAAATAGTAGCAAATGTTCAGTTCAGTGGGTTCTTCATATGAAATGGCTCAACAGCCTCCTCCCTCCTCCAAGTAAGTCTGAAAACAGATGTGAGCTCATATTGTAGAGCTAAACACTGCACTTGTGTGACTGAAGCCGGCTCAGATGCTCCGGGACAGCTGAGCATCGTGGTGGGAATTATTGTGCTCTAGTGTGCAGCCCTGGCCCTACTTATTTAATCCTGGGATGGACCCTGTTTCTCTACACCTGTGAGCCTCCATCCCCTGAGGAATCCTTGAAGCTCTTAGAAGTCTCTGAAAGAAACAAATGGAGCCCACAGTGTAGGGCAGGGTATTTGCTTGGCTTTTGGTGATATCTGAATCACTCCCTAGACTGGGTATGTGATGCTGTCCCACTTGGGAGCCTTGGTACTGAGAACTGGGGTGACAATGGATGTGTGCAGTGTATGAAAGGGGTGGACCCTTAGATCACCCAGAGCAAGGATGTGGAGTAAGACTGAGAACCAGGGAGAGGCCCCAGGGGCAGCACCCACAGGTCAAGGCGGCTAGCAGGAAGCCAACTCCTGAAGGGTGACAGGGGAAGATTGTTGGGTGGGAAGTAGGTGTGGGTGGGAAAGCAGGGAATGGCATCATGGAGGCTGGGGGAGAAGTTCAGTCCAGTTCTGGAAGGAAGAATGGTGAGTCAGCCCACTGCAGAGACACCAGATGAGAATGCAAGTCAGCAGCACCTGGTGGCTTTAACAACAGTTGGTCAGTGGAGAAATGTTGCATCAGGAAGTTAGAAAATGAGCCACAAAAACACTGGGTGAAGCTATGCAGAGAGAATCTGGCAAACAGATTCAGGGCAGGGGCCAGAAGACAGGCGCAGTGTTGAGGTTGGGATCTGATCTGCTTGGTTTTGTGCACTCAGCTTTGCTTGGAGGTTTGGGTGGGGGTTTAATGGGATTTATTTCAAAGAGAACACACATGTGGAAGAAGGCTATGAGTGCCAGAAAAAGGCAGAGAGAGTAACAGACTGAGAGAGCCATTCACTTTTCAAAATCAACTACTCAGTCCACACCTTCACAGCTCAAGCTCACCTCTCCCAGGCCCAATAAAAGTGTCACAGCCCTGTCCCTGAAGCTGTTTGGGGCAACTCTGCTATTGCTGGGAGACACCATAGTTCCTTCTTATTCAAGGTTTTGCTTCTTGGTGTTTAAGTTACCAGTGTTCAACTGTGGTCCAAAAATATTAAATGGAAAATTCCAGAAGTAAGCAATTCACCAGTTTTAAGCTGTATATCCTTCTGCACGGCATGATGAAATCTCATGCAGTTTCATGTCATCCCACCTGGGATACAAATGATCCCCTTGTCCAGCGTATCCACACTGTATATGCTACCCGCTTTGTAGTCACTTAGTAGATAGCCTGATTATCAAATTGATTGTTGAAATATTATAGTGCTTATGTTAAATAACCTTTATTTTGCTTTTAACAATAGCTCCAAAGTGCAAGAGTGGTGATACTAGCATCTTTATTATAATATATTGTTATAATAGTTCTATTTTATTATTAGTCGTTAATCTCTTCCTGCACCTAATTAATAAATGAAACCTTATCACAAGTGTGTGTGTATAGAAATATAGCGTATGTAGGATTTAATACTACAGTTTCTGGCTTCCACTGAGGGTCTTGGAACATACTTCTATCGAGAAGGGGATAACAGTGTTTTTGTTGTCTTTATCATAGTTGTGGTTTTCATGGAGAGAATCTTGGTGATGCAATGAAGGGGACACATGGAGAGGTGGATGAGAAAAGATGGAAGAGAGAAAGGAGGAGGGCAGAGAGGGGCAGCACAAAGCACAGGGGACAAGAGGCAAGGGCAAGGTGGACGTGAGTCAGGGAGCTCAGGCTCCCCCCGTCCAGCTCTGCTTTCCCTGCGTAGTCAGAGGCAAGGCCGCCTGCTGAGTGGGACCACGGAGGTGTGACGGGACTTGATGGAGGCCCCTGAGGCAGAGCTCCTGTGAGGACTGAGCAGGGGCTGGGAGAGGACTGCCGATCCCCGCACACCTGGCTGCCCCAGTGGTGTTCCTGATGCCCTGCTGTAGGTGGTCTGGTCATGATGGCGGAAGGAAGAGGGTGTGTGGGAATTAGGGGAGGACACAAAGGTCAAGACAGGTGAGACAATCAGTCAAAGGGAGCAAAGGGAGCAGCATGGGCCACAGCAATCCATTTTCTTCTTCTTCCACCCACTCCCAGGTGCCTTACGGAAGAACATACGTATTTGCTTCCTGTTTTTATCCTGAGAGAAGTGTCTGCGGTAAGTCACACACTGAGGAAGAGCCAGGAGAGAATGTGGGCAGTGGTGGCTGGCGCTGGGAAGGGGAGGAGCAGAGCTCTGGTGATAGACCGGACTGCCAGAGTGCTGTGTTCCCTAGTAGGTTTTATTTTTAGGACTCTTTCGGGGCCATAGCCAAATGGAACAGATACCACAGTGTTCCTATGGACCCCAGTCTTCTCACCAAACCAAAGGGGTCTGTTTGCTACAACCAAGGAGCCTACACTGGCACTTCACTGTCTCCTGAAGTCCAGAGTTCACATTAGCATTCCCTCTCCGTGTTGCACATTGTATGGGTTGTGACCACGTATCCACCATTACAGTATCAATATCAAATGGAACAGGTTTCACTGCCCCACCTGTTCATTCCTCCTTCCCGTGAGCCCTGACAGCCACTGATCTTTTCCTGTCCCCAGGGCTTTACCTTCCCAGAATGTCGTGTCGGTGGAATCACACAGGATACAGACCTTACGCATTGTCTTCTTTGACTTAGCCACATGCATTTAAGGTCCCTGCATGAGCTTGACGCCCACATCTTTTTCACACCGAGTAATATTCCAACGATCTGGACGTACCACAGCTTATGTATCCATCCATCTACCAAAAGACAACTTCAGAGCTCAAAAGTTTGGCAATTATGGATAAAGCCTCTAATTTCTTTTTTTTTTTTTTGTACCAGGAATCAAACTTGGGACCTTGTGCTTGCAAGGCAGGTGTGAGTACCACTGAGCTAAATCCCTGGCCCTGGATAAAGCTTCTATAAATATGTGTGTACAAGGTTTTGTGTGGCCATAAATTTTTAACCCATTTGAGTAAATACCAAGGGGAATGACTGCTGGGTCATATGGTAAAAAACTGTTTACTTTGTAAGAATCTGCCACACTGTCTATAAAACGGTCCATATTATTATTATTATTTTTTTTGTTACCGGGGATCGAACTTGGGCCCTTGCGCTTGCACAGCAGGTGTTGAAACCACTGAGCTAAATCCCCGGCCAGGATCCATATTATTTTGACTTCCCACCAACAATGAGTGGGAGTTCCCGTGGCCCCACGTCTTCCCCGCATTTGATGTTGTCAGGGTTTTGCATTTGAGTCCTTCTAGCAGATGGACAGTGGTATCTTCTTTTAATTTGCAATTCCCTAATGACAAATGATGCCCAGCATCTTCTCATATGCACGTATGTCATTGTATATCTTCTTGGGTGAGGTGTTTGTTCTGGTTTTTGCCCATTTTTAATTGGCTTTTTTGTTTTCTTATTCTTGAATTTAAAGATTTCTTTGTATCTTTTGGGTAACTGTCCTTTATCAGATGTGTCTTTTGCATATTTTCTCCCAATCTATAGCTTGTTTTCTCATTCTTGTTGCAGGATCTTTTGCAGAGAAAGTCTTAATTTTAATGATGTCACCTTATCAATTACTTCTTTCATTGATAGTGGCTTTGGTGTCATGTCTAAAAGTCATCACTATACCCAAGATCATCTAGATTAGTGATGGCAAAACTTTTAGAGACCTAGTGCCAAACTACAACCAAAACCCACTTATTTATCATAAAGTGCCAACACTGCAATTAAACCTGAGATTTTAGTTTAGAAAAACTAACTCTATATCAACATCTTTTGCCTTAAACGAAAAACACAATAACACGTTTGCCACCACTGATCTAGATGCGTTCCGAAGTTACCTTTTCAGTGTGCTATAGTTTATATTTCACACTGAAGTCTATGACCCATTTTGAGTTAGTTTTTGTGAAGGGTGTAAGTTCAATGTCTAGACTGGTTTCTTTGCATGTGGATGTCTAGTTGTTCCAGCACTGTTTGTTGAAAGACTACCCTTGCTGGGCATGGTGGCCAATGCCTATAATGCCAGCTACTTGGGAAGCTGAGCAGGAGGATCACAAGTTCAAGGCTAGCCTGGGCAACACAGTGATAACCTGTCTGAGAATAAAAGTAAGCCTCTTCTCTTTGTCAAGGACTAGCTGATTATAATGGTGTGGGTCTATTTCTTGGCTCTCCACTCAGTTTCACTGATCTACAGTGTTTTTATTTTGTTCTTTATTTTTTTCTCCAGTACTGGGACTGAACCCATGGGCTTGCACATGCTAGGCAAGTGCTCTACCACTGGGCTTCATCTCCAATTCTTTTTTTTTTTTTTTTTTAAGAGGTGGAGTCTTGCCATGCTGCCCAGCCTCCTGCTTCAGCCTCTCAAGTAGAGGCTCAATTTTTCTTCTGGTTTTCACTTTGTCACGAGATTTGCTCTACCACCTACTCTGGCAAGTCTAGTCATTTCCCTGCATCCTTCCACCTCGTGACTGTCCTGGTTATTCTCAGCCCTGCCACATAGTGGCCATCATCTTTCCCACCTTGTTGACTCCACTCTGGTTCCCAGATGCTATATCCTTCCTTTTCTTTCTTTTCCTGAAACCCATCAACTATTAGTTCCTAGGAAAAGGTGCATGGAAGATGCATTTTCATAGTCCTTGCATGTCTGAAAATTCTTTTATCTGCCTTCATTCTTGATCAATAGTTTGGTTGAGGGTAGAATTTAAGGTTATTTATTTATGTATCTATTTGGCAGTGCTAGGGCTTGAACCCAGGGCCCTGTGTGTGCTAGGCAAGTGGTTCACCACTGAGCTAGCTGCACCCCCGGCTCCTTAACTCAATTCTTTTAAAACTTAGAAGGCACTGATTATTTTCTTCTAGCATCCAATGTTGTTCTTGAAGTCAATTTCATGTTCATTCTTGTTCTTCTAGTTTCCATCCTCTTTGGAAGTTCTAGGTTTCCCAATTTGTCCCTTGTGACCCTTTATGATGATGTGCCTTTTTGTATCAGTCAAGGTATTTGCTAAAATAAAAAAAGTCAACTAAAATGGACCATACTGTAAGTACTTTCTTTTGGTACTGGGGTTTGAACTTGGGACCTTGCGCTTGCGAGGCAGACGACGGAACCACTGAGCTAAATCCCTGGCCCCTACTGTAAGTGCTTTTTAAAAAATGTTACACAGTAAGAGGTCCAGAGATGTGGACTGAATTTCACTTTCAGGGATGTAGGGCTTGACTACAGCTTCCTCCTAACTAACAGGGATGATATCTGTCTTGGAGGAGTTTTGCTTGCTATAGTGAATACACAGGCTAGGTGATTGATAAAGACTAGAGGTGGATGTAGCTCACCACTTTGGAGGCTGAGAAGTACAATATCAGAGTGCTAACATTTGCGAGACCCTTCCTGCTGCGTCATAGCATGGCTGCGGGCCTTGCCTGGTGGGGCAGAGCATGCTCGCTAGCTGGGGTCTGTCTTCCTCTAATGATAAAGGTATCAATGCTGCTGGGTCCCACCTTCATGACCTTCTCTAATCCTGACTACCTCCAAATACCTCCAAACACATAGACTTTTAGGGCACACATTCCAGCACAGCAGCCGGTTCACAGAACTCCCAGAGCTGTGCTTCTAGGAGCCTTCTGTCCATTCCCTGAACATCTGTCCAAAGGCTGCATTCCCCAAATATTAAGAGAGCTTTGACGAGAAGAAATGATAGCCTTCTGCTGAGTTAAAGCCTGGAGCTTCAAAATGTAGTAGGATCGTGGTTTGTTTTCAAGGCTTATTTTAGATCCAGCTGGCCCTGGGAAGGCAGGTGTAGTCAGCAAACCCTGGTGTATATATTTCCTAGGCCTATGGGTTTTCAGGAAGTGAAAACATCCTTCTGTGAGTGAACATTTTTAGAATCAAAATTTGTCTGGGTTGGGAAGCTCTTCCCTCTGTCTGAGTGAGGTCACTGTCACTTGGTCTGGTGACACGCACGCAACCCGAGAACTGAGCACTTCTGGGCACAGCAGTGGCCCAGGGCTTCTCAGTCTGACGGTCCCGCCCTAGGCCCTGATGCCATGGTGTCTTGTCCTGACTGGTTTTCATCTTGCCATCCTTGGTATACCTTTTCCTGCCATCCATTTAAAAAATTCTTACCACAATCCAGATCTACTTCCTCTAACATTTTTTTCCTTCCTCTCT